CTCACCTTGTTGCTCAGGCTGGTTCCAAATTCAGTCTATAGCCTAGGCTAGCCTCTGACTATCATATTTTCTCTGCATCAGCCTCTTGAGTACTGGCATGGACCAACATACCCTGTTTAGAAGTGCCTTTTATCACATTGAAAAATAGTAAGTAGGGCTAGGAATATGTAGGGCAATGGTAGAGCACTTGCCTAGTAGCAGGAGAGCCTGGATGCAATCCCCTATGCCTTTCTCCAAAATATATGCTAGCTATGTTAGGTGATAGAAAGTAAATTAGCTTAAATGTGATAAATACTTTGAAATGTATACATATATGTTATTATTAAGTTGAATACTTTATACATTCTATTAAGCGGTCAAATAAATGTACTTCAATAAATTTGGCAAGGAGAGAGGAGAAAATAACTCAATCAGATTTGCATTTTACACCATTCATCCTTACTGTCATCATTAAAATGCATATTCCACAGGCTCTTTTCTGTATTTTTTGACTCACATTGAGTGTTGTCCTATAGTCAATTCATCTACAGCTTCTGTTACTATTTCCATATCTCCAGTCCAGACCTCTCTGCCGGGCTCTGACCCCATTTTCCTCACTGCCAATTAGTTGTCGCTTCTCTGGAAATGCAGCATACTTCTAGAATGACATTTACCCTTTATTTTCCTTTCAAACTTTGCATAGTTCTTGTTGCTTTGCACCTGAAATAATGGTAACGGGTACTTTTTTTTTCTTTTTAACTTGCCCCAAACTAAAAACCTGAGAATCATCTGTACCCTCTCTCTCTCATACATTCCTAGTCCTGCAAGTACTGTCTTTATCCTGTCTACCGTGTATTGCTCACAAATTTGTTCCCTTTCTTTCTTACTAATGTTTTTGTTTTAGTACAGTCTCTCTCCCTTACACCACTGCTGTGCCCTACATCCTCGCCATCTTACCTCCAGTCATGTTTCCAGGGAAGGAAGTGTACCGAAGCTGGAGTGACCTTTCTTAATTTCAAACTGAATCAAAGGTAGAAGTGGACCACACGACAGCTCTGCAAGAATTTTTTTGTCTTCTATAATTGAGCTACAAACTCTTATGTCAAAAACAACACCAATAAGGACCTAGATTTTTTTTTCTGCATCTTTATTCTTAGTTCTTTGATTTTTTTCACAATCTCTACCCTTACCAGGTTACCAGGTTTCCAGGTTTCAGTAGTCCCATAATTAATGCTAATAGGAACACTTAGGCTGCTGTTCCTTAAAGAAAAATTTCTACTCTTCCCCTTTCTGTTGTACATGTATCTTTGAAATTTTATTCGTCCTTTTCATGTTAAGAACTGCATAATGTTTTTAAAGTAGAAAAGAGGAAAATTTGGTCCTTTGGTAGTAAGTATTGATTGTTATAACTGCACAATTATACTTGATGTGATTTACAGGCCATTCATTTCATATATGCCATAAATTTTAAAAAGGTTCCTTAAGAATGAGTCTACTGTATGATATAAAATCTCAGTTTATAGATGTAAGAAAGAAGGCCCATATTGAGACAAGCCTTGACACAGTGAATTAGAAAGTTAAGCATTTGGTGGCCTAATTAAAAGAATGGAAAGTAAAAATATTGAAATAATGTCCTTGCCTGAATATTCACTTTCACATGTCAGCTATTTTTATTTTAGAGATCATGTAACCAGTCGTTTTTCCTGTTTGACATTCTCAACAGAAAATTTTCCATTTCATTCCCAAAATGCTCAAATAGATTATAATCGTGCACAGTTAGAGTCTGGAAACAACTAAATGTTGCATTTATTTAAAAACAATTAAACTTTACAATATAGGATTACTTGTTCTGGTAACTACTGAAAATGATAAAGATAGCAGAAATTATGTGATGTGAGTGTGTGTGTGTGTGTGTGTGTGTGTGTGTGTGTGTGTTAATTGTTAAGTTATATTAAATTCTCAGTTCCTGCCTGCAGTGGATTAAACAAAATTTATAGGCAAGCCAGAAATTGCTTCTCAGACTGATTATGCCTTTTCTAATATCAGTAGTGATTTTACAGTAAAAGTGTACACTGCTAAAGTTAAGGTGGAAACACAATTCATTTCACTGGACTCTTAAAAATAGCATTATCAACTATTTTGTGATGTTTCCTTCATCATATATTGGGCTGTCCTGAAGAAATAAACCTCCACTTGCTTTCATGACAGTAGATAATAAATTGGCTAATATAATTCCGTTGAGATGTTGAAAACTGCATTGAAAATAATGGGGCATAACATTTTAGGGTTAACATTTATTCATAGATGATGCAATTAAATAAAGCAGGCATTAACTTCAAGGTCAGTCAGTAAAGTAATAAAATTGAATATTTTAATTGAATTGTAATCGTTTCCCATTGATACATGCAACTAAAGTAAAATGGATGTCAGCTCTGCAAATTATAGTTCTTCCTCCTAATTAATTTCTTAATTCTGCATGGAGTTATCCAGTGCCTAGGTCTTGTTGTGGGTTTATTCACCCACCCAGCCTCCATCAAGAAATATCTGTAAGATGTGATTAAATGGCTAGATGTCAGAATTTATAGTAAATCTTTTTCTGTGCTTTGGAGAAAAATTTTGTTAGTAACTTAAAATCTCATGCATGTGAATTAAAGCATGCTTGAAATAAAATGACATCCTTCATCCTCTAGACTGTCATCATCTTTGTTAATATTTTATTGCTTTATATCATTATTTAGATCAACATTAATAAAAGGCTCAGTGACTAAAGTTCTTAGGAGACGTGAATACCTTGAGACATCATTCCGTAGCTGGCTCCTTGAGAAGATAAACTAAAAAGATTCTGTGAGATTTCAGTGAAGCACAGTTTGTGGGTCTTCATGACCTGGACTTCACTAGATAACGGTCACTAAGCAGAATGAATCTAAACAAAAAATGTCTCTCTTACGGAGGGTGGTGTAATGAAGCTTTTGAATAAAGTTTGCATTAAAAGAATGTAAGAGCCTCTTCATAATACTCCCAAGATATTTAATGTAATGTTGCTTTACTCAAAAGAAGTGAGAAACATGTAATCACAGTGATGTCTCAGATTACATTGTGTTGAATATAGGTACTGTTTTGTTTTGGTTTGCTTTTTTAGAATGTGAATATTGTACCTTTAGACCAAGAGAATTATTAGCTAAATGCTTAAGTTTTTTAAAAATTGACTGTATAAAATAGCTTTGAACACTACAAAATTCTTGTTATTCATGGTACCTTCAAATAATTCCACATAATAGAATTATTTGAGCATAAAGAAAGCTGTATATCAGGACTGCTCCTTAGTTGCTGCTAGAAGTGTAAATGGACTCTTCTTCCAATAAAGCAAACAAGTTAAGCAGAAATTATTTGTGCTTTCCAAGACTAACATTTAATTTCAATTCAAACACTAACTTGATTATTTTTAAAACTTCTTTAAAAGTCCAGCGATTAATATATTTTATTGATGCTAATCTGATTCTGAGCTTTATTTCTCAATTATAAACATTCCTGAACATAAGAATTCTCTGTGTGTAACATCCAGTTAGAAATTCCTGAAAGGAATAGAGGAGGGGAAACTATAACCAAGATATATTATCTGAGAAAAGAATCTATTTTCAATAGAAAAAAGAAAATTATAAAACCAAAATTAAAATTAAAAAAACAGAAAGACAAAAATGTTAGAGCTGCATATTTATTGCAAATTAGATGATAACTTTATATATTATAGGGATCCGTTTTACCAGATATTTATTTCAGAAACTATTCTCCATAAACAAAAGTAAATTATATACAGACTATACATGCAACGATAAACTGATTCTAAATAACACAATTTAGAAACATGTAAAATTAAGAAAATTAAGAATTAAATTTTATTGGGTTTTCATTTGCATGTTACTAATAATTTATAGAGTCTTTGTTGCTCTAACAATGAAGACTCTCTGGAGAGTTCTGCATCTCTGTATTTTGGGTGATAGGACAGGTAGTCTTCCTTCTACATCCACAACTCATAATAGCCCTGTAGTAAAGCTTGGGCTGGTTTAAAGACATCAGTGACAGTGGCTTAGGCCACTGCCTTCTCAAGGACAGTAGCTTCAATCCCTAGAGGTCGCTGGCTCTTATCCAAGAAATATTTTTCTAAAAACAACCTGAAATGCATCCTGTATGGGTAGTAATCATGAGGTCCCTGATGACTTATGTCACTTTCTAATGAAAAAAAAAAAAAATGCAGAATACCCTCAGATGGGTATCAGATGGAGTTATCTGCCAAATGGCAGAAGCAGAAGACCTTAGTAGGCATTACTGAGAACAAAGCAGCATATTATCCTGACGTAAATAGTACTGTATACAGTGTTTAATATTGAAAGATCTAGTCAGAAGATTATCTAGATTGCCATATTGAATTGAGATACCTTAACTACTAAAATTGGGATATTTTGGTAAGGTGTTACAGTCTGTTTCAATAGACACAATTTTGAGAGCAGCTATGACTTCATTTCATAATACAAGTGTATCTGTATTTTACTATTAAGTGAATTAAATTTATAGGTGTAACAGTTTAACTCTTTTCTATTCTTATTCTATCATTTCATTTAAATTTAAAATAAGATAAGCATAAAACAGAAAATTCACAATATTATCTTTAAATAAAATAAACTACAACAATTAAAATGCCTTAGTTTTGTGTTTCCTGTCTTTGAAATTGTAGTATTTTCATCTTAATTTCAATTACCTAAATAAAGGAAGTCAAATTGAAGGAAACATCTGCCTATTGATGCAACTGAAATAAACTAAAACTGATTTCACAGGGCAAGAAAGGCAGCTTATCTCAAGGAAGCAGGAAAATATATTCTGGCAGAGTACCATTTACTTTAAAATCAAACCAATTTGCAATACATATACGTTGCTCTCCTTGATGAGGAAGGCTAAGGGAAGCTGTAAGTGTGCCTTTATAGCTCCAATCTGACACCAACCTGGAAAATTTTCCCCTTTCTTGACAGGCTTAGATCCTGATAAGCATCTTGGGAAAACCCTGGATGAAATGGAGCCTTATCTTTTAGAGGTAAGAATTTATGTTCATCTTCAAAATATCAGCGTCTAAATGAAGAAAGTAAGATTGTGGTGTAATAACTGTAAGAATGATTTTTGTTTCAGAAAATTTTAGATACAATTTTATGATTGGTAAGGTTAAAACTCTATAGGTAAATAGAAGCATGTTTAAAATTATATAAAATGATTTCCAGTGTGCTGAGCCAAACTATGCTGTCTGTACTTGCAAGAGTGAGAACAGAGGAAAATGCTCTGAGGACATGGGCTTCTGTTAAGTAGACAGCGTGTACTGCCTGAGCAGTGCTGTGGTTCTGAAGCACCTGCAGGCTCAGATATGCGAGTGGAAACTTCTAGAGGCTGTTGAATCTAGTCCTCTTTACAATGGTGAATGAACTTGCCAAGAGGCAGAGGAATTGTTCCAACATTTCAAATAACCTTTCTTCATCTATACCATTGTCAAGTCCTAAGTGTGTATTACATACTAAATAATACTTACTTTCATTCTTCCTTTCTGTTAATTGTATTGAACTGTATTGGAGAATGGGGGCAGATGCTGGGTTTGATGCAGCACCGGGTAAATAACTGAAGCATTGTGTTTGTCAGATAGTGAGGTTTTTAACCTACAATCAAGATATAGATAGGCAATCACTGTTTCTATGAAGAGCCATGCTCTGCTAAGTGTCCTGTACATAGCTCAGTTCCTTGCTGCTGTCTTTGGGTTTTGTCAAGGACAGCCCTACGGCATGAGCTGCTGCACTCCACAGTAACCTTATGGGTTTCATATTGGTTTTAGAATTATTTGTAATAGATTATTTTATGGTTTATCAATGATCAGTCTATACCAAATGCATAAAACATCCCAAAAATACTAATTTCTTCTTTGATTAACAAAACTAGGCACCTGCTTTGTGACAATCAGATAGTAAAGATTAAAAGAAAATTGAAATGGGCATACAATTATAACAGATTATGCTTTGTTTCTAGAGAAATTGGTGTCATTTGCGTTTATATCTTGTTGCTTTCTGTGTTCAGATAGGCATCTTCTTGCAAGCATTTACCGCCATGGAACAGTTTGTAGTCATAGCTATTGACTGCAACCAGATTGAAATTAGCTTCTCTCTCTCCCAAAGCAATGTTGATATGTAATGAAGTCAATTTTTGGAAAGTAAAAGATAAGAAATAAGAGACTGGCTCTCATATAAGAACTCTTTACAAGTTCTCTGGATTTTGACATTATGAGTTGAAGGACACTGTAGAAAAGCCAATTTAGTAGGATAACTATAGATATTAGTACTGCGCTGGTCCATAAACCTGGAAGGAAGGAATTTGAATATTTTACATAAAAATGTAACTAATTAAGAAAGATATGTTTACTGTAATTAAAGTATTATATGATATATACATGTCATTTTTAAATACTATGATACACCATTAATATGTACAGTTGTGTGCTCTTATTTTAAGAGGTAATGTGAATTCTATAAGAAAAAGAAAATGTACATAAAGTTTTAGGAAGTGTCACGATTATGGGTAAACTTGAGTATTGCTGTATAATAATCAAACACAAAAATAACATATAGGCTGTGTGTATTTACACAAATATGCATGAAACTTAATGGATTCTATGTTACAATTTAGGGCTTTCTCTAGAATATCACATTATGTGTATACAAATATTACAAAATCCGAAAATAATATCAGAAATATGAAACACTTCTGGTCCCCAGAATTTCAGATATTTGGTTTATATAAATATATAAGGCAGAAGGAACAGGTTTCCAGACATCTGTCTCCTTTCTTTGGACTATGTCTTGCCTAAAGCTTTTCTAGGAGATTAAAACTACATATTGAAAGATTTAGAATACTGAATTGAGGATAACTTACCTAACAATGAGAAGTAAATGAAGAGGGGAAAAACAGTTATTGTAAGTAGTTTGACCAGCAGAAGTACCTGATATTGTATTTAAAGATAAGTGAGATAAGTCATGTTAGTTCCGTACTGTTCCACTTTGTAGCCCTCACATTTTTCTGATGTGTATTGTAAGTGAGCTCCTGATCTCCATTGCCTTGAGATACTTGAAGAATTGAATATTAAGTATTTTCAGAATCAACCCATGTTACCAGTTCTATGCCACCTGCTGAAATGGGAAGGAAACAAAATGACCACTCAGCATTTTAACGTATGCTGTACTAAATAAGGGAAAGAAAACCCTTATAACCTCCAACAGATCAATCAAACAACCTGGCTCCCAATTGTAAGCACAGGTAAGAGCTGTTGGGTGGAATAGGGCCACAGGTCCTGCAGCAGCTGCTAGAAGATCTTAAATAGATTTGAATGATGGGTGAGATTTACCTGGGCAGTGGACACAAAGTAAATCAATATGAATGAAGATTCATTAGCAGAGACAAGAAGAAACTTGATCTAAATGAAATTAAACTGGTGTTGATAGATCAGTAAAGCAAAGGTGAAACGGAAATGTAGGGCCTAGTCTTAAAGGGCCTTCAGGGATGGACCAGGCAATTTAAGATAAGAAATAATAAGATTTAGAGGTCTCTTCAACAGCTATCCATGCTATTAAAAGAGAGCTGAGGAAATACAGTCTAGCAGCAGTTTTCATAGATTCGGATTGGAAACAAGGGAAGTAAAGCCCATGAAACTGGTATAGGAAACAGATGCAAGATACATGAAATATTGTGATAGGAAAATGGAAATGACATTGGCATCAAAATTTCCACAAGTTGGAAAACAAAATATCAACAATTATTCACACACAGTAAAGGAAATCAGAAACACTTGTTACTATGGAAGGCTGCAGGGTTTAGAGAAAAAAAAAAAAAAAAAAAGACAAGCTTGATTTTAAGCAGACTGGACTTTTTGTTATAACATATAACCTGAAGGCAGATTTTTTTTAACCAATGAGATTGGAGCTCAGTTGAGATGGTCAGGAAGAGGGCTGCAGTTTGTTGTCAGTGTACTGCACAGAGTCAGACAGTAACTAAATTCTCATGTCCTTCAGGTCTCTGTCCGAAGCAACTGAGAAATGTTGCTCTTAATGTTCACTCCACCACACTACACAGGCGTTATTTTCCCTGGGTAGTTGAGCTGTGAGTTAAGTCATTGCTGAGTGGCATATACTAAGTGGTCTTTGTGTATGAGTAGTTAATTTTCTAATAAACCTACGAGGATGGTAATATTATTGTTGCATTTTAGGACAAAGCATCACTTCCAAGCAGGGCTTTTACGAAATCTCATGACTGGGGAATATCAGAAATAGAATTCATGTCTAAGTCTAGCTGATTTCAGAGCATACACTGTGTTCTACTTGTAAGTCATTTGGGGGCATAACTGAAATAAGAAAAGCATTGCCTTAGCCATAGAACAAGTGCTCTGAGCAGTAATATTAGCAGTAAGAGAGCAGCATCAGTAATGGCAGAAGCCAGGATTTATGCATATGAGAGGGAATACAGTGTCAAAAAAGTATAGTACAATGAGGTCCACAAGGGGTTGTCTATAACTTAGGAACAGCAGCAAGGAAAATAATGAGAAAAGAGTATCTTCAAATATATAGTAATATGGAAGGCTATTAGAAAGACATGAGAGGTGAATAATGTTACAGGCCACATAAACTGGAAAACTATAGACTAATTGGGTCCTGGCAACAAATTGTTAGCAGTAAGAAAACTGCCATTCACCCAGTTCCTAATGTTGAAAGGTGGAAATTTTCCTTACTAGGTAATCTATTCCATTAATCTTTCATGTTGATGTTATTCAAAATTGATGTCTTAAAAAAAAAATACCTTGACATTTGAGCAGAGCCAAAGCAGGAAGGTCACTGTGACCTTCTTTGCTATTCTCCCTGGAGCAGGCAATGAAGGAATGCTTTGACCTTCCTCTAAAGTAAGTAGGAGACTTCCATTACAGATGTGGTGTCCCTATACCTGGAGGAAGGACAGCAAAAAAATGGAACAAACAGTGTGCTGTTCTTTGTAGAATCTGTTTGCTCACACTGCTAACCTCAAGATCTAAAGAGTAGTAACATATACCCAATAAATAAGTAAATCTGAATCAATCTATATAGCATTAAATTATATGTAAAAATACTACTTATACAGTGAAATTGTACTTCATTAAACCTCATAGTCTTCTCTAGGGAAGACTGATGAAAAGTCCATTTGATTTGGCTCTCTGCATCTTTGGTTTTAAAATGAATAAAAGATAAATGATTCAGCTTTCAAGTATTTTATTGATTATTTTTGCATCAGTGTTCATAAAAGAACTTGGTGTAAAATTCTCTTTTTTTGTTGGGTCTTTGTGTGATTTAGGTATCAGGGTGACTGTAGCTTCATAGAATGAGTTTGGCAATGTTACTTCTGTTTCTATTTTGTGGAATTGTTTGAGGAGTATTGGTATTAGCTCTTCTTTGAAAGTCTGTTAGAATTCTGCACTAAAACCATCTGGCCTGAGCTTTTTTGTTTTGCTTGGGAGACTTTTATTGACTGTTTTTATTTCCTTAGAGGTTATAGGATTATTTCACTTGATTTAACTTTGGTATATGGAATCTATTAAGAAAATTGCCTATTTCATTTAGACTGTCTAATTTTGTGAAGTAGAGTCTTTTGATTTAAGACCTAATGATTCTTTTGATTTCTTCAGTGTCTGTTGTAATATGCCCCCCCCCCCCTTTTTTTAAATTCTGTTATATTGGATATTGAAACTCTGGCTTTTAGATAGTTTGGGTAAGAGTTTGTCTATATTGTTGATTTTCTCAAAAAAGAAATAACAAAAACAAAAACAAAAAACAACCAAATCCAAGAACACATTAAAACATCAACCACCATGATCAAGTAGGCCTTATCTCAGGGATGGCTCAATATGCAGAAGTCCATTAATGCAATACACCATATAAACAAACGGAAAGAAAAAAAAAAAAAACAAAACAAAACATGATCATCTCATTAGATGCTAAAAAAAAAAAAAATGCCTTTGACAAAATCTAACACCCTTCATTTTAA